TTTAGGCACGCGCGCCGACCTATTTTGATCTTGAAACAAGCTCTTAACTACCTCTAACAGTTTCTTCTGAGACTCATTTAATTGATATGATTATATACGAGTATAGTGACATCCTCTTTGTGATGTACATGTGCCCACCTGCACCTGCACGTGTTAACGCGCGTTGGTGTGTACATGGGTGTAGGTATGTGCTTATTTTATATTTAATGGTTAATTATAAATTAATAGACTTGCTGTCCTGAAATGTGTACTTGTATGTGCTTAAATTGAGGCAATACACTGTGTCAGAGCTAATCTAAGATATACTAGCAGACCCATTTACATATCAATTCTTTAGTAATCATTTTACCAAATATTGTCTTTTTTTCATTGCACTGTATTTTAAAGGTGTTTTTCCCTTATCATTTTCAACGTTACTTATTGCTGTTCCCTAGTTTTTCCCTCTTCAATTTTTTAAGGACCAAAAGTGCCTGTTTATTAATTCATTTAAAAATATGTTACTACATTTTCAAAAAAAAACATTTTCTTTTTGTCGAAAAATTTAAGTACTAGTTTAGTACTAGAAACACGCTGGTACATATCGACAATTCTTCTATCAAGTCAAAACTTGTATAAGAAAAGTTCATTTTACATCTGTTAAGGAAGTAAAAGAACCTACAGCATTTCACCCTGACAAAAAGCTATGGCAACTTATAGAGACATAAAATATAATATGTCAGAAATCACCGGAAGAACCGAAAATTGACATGATAAGCTTTCTATAGGTTCATCACGTCATACGCAACTAATGATCGATGTAATTAAATAAGATGCAAGACGCAGCTAAGATATGAATAACTGTAAAAAGAAAAATAAATAAAATCTGCTAATTATTAATTTAACGTTTAATGAAATGTTTAACAAGAAACGTTTATTTAGTAGTATTGTTTATGTTGATGTTGTAAATGTTGATACGACTTTTAATACTTTTCACCAGATGGTGTCATAATAAACAATAAAAACAAAATTGATAATAGTAGTGTTTATTTTCCATATCTAACAAATAACTTTCCTTATTCATTTTTACTTGAGATTGTTTCCATTCCAATAACCAATGGGCAAAATGGATTCTCTTAATTAATCTGACAAAATCTGAATTCTCGTGGGCAACTGACAGTTCCTGAATTATGGACTGTGTTTTGGGGAAAATTGCAATTTTCTTATTGATTGGTTACACTGTTCTCATCTTGACAATTGTTCCGGTCACGAACGTTGATTTGATTTGTGTTTGTACGTTCCTAATGTTATAGATTGATGACAATCTCGTGTTCGTAAATTTTGTCTAATCTAACAACGCTATATTATTAGAAACTGGACCAAACCAGTATTGCTATCATATGTAAGAAGAATCTTCTAACCAATATAATTTCAACAAATTCATAATCGCATTCTTGTAAATTTGAAATCTTATTTGTACATGTCCAATTCCAAAGAAACTTTAAATATATGTTAAAATTATAGAAAAATATGTGATCAAAAGATTCAAAGTAACAACGCATTTCAACACAGACAGTCACAGATAAACAAAAATTATAGTAGACTAAATTGCTGTATCAATATCAGTGTTATAAGTACATGTAAGTAAAAAGAATTTGTAGGTTTGACTTTTACAGGTTTTTTTCTTTTTTTTCTCAGGACTGATTTATTTCCTTGCATACGATTGTTGTTTAATGTTAAATCTGCATGCCTCCAGATTCGTGCCAATTTTCATGGAAATTTGAAAATTTATTTAGAGTATACTATTATCAAGTAAATAGAGAAAGTAATTTACATAGTTTGATATAATTTTGTATGTTTTAAAGCTTAAAACTTGCTGGAGAGTGACTTCGTAGAAATAATAAATTTTCAAACAACTATAACATAACATTGCTTGACAAAACCTCATCCTCTATCCAACAAAACATTAAATTGCGAAATGATATACATGTATATAAGTCTATCAAGCGAAAGCTTTTTCGCTTATACGAAATATATTTTTAATATAGTGGGATAACCTCTCAGCAAAAAAATATATTACTAACAGCGACAAAGTTCAACAAAAATTCATGTGTGGCGAACTATTTTTAACTACTTATCATAAAAATCTGCAAAAGGTAGAAACCTTAAAATCATGTCTAGATAAAACCTGACTTGATTTTGATTCTCCATGAGAAATAATGAACACTTCACCATTGATTTAAAGAGTTAATGTTCCATTCGTTAACAATAAAACGTGAAATCAATAATCCCGAATGTTCAGAAAAAAGACGTTTTCTAAATCAAGATATTTATAAATATAATTACAAAGTACAAAAGTGTCGAAGCAAACTGCAGTATCAGCGTTATCAGGAAAAGAATATTTCAATGATTTAAAAGTGACCGAACATAAGAATCAAATTTGATTGTTCAAGGTTTTGCGCAGCACATATAGCGCTGAAAAGCTGTCAAGTTGTGTTGCAACAAAATACGATTATGTCAAAATGAAGGAAGTAAAATCCATATCATTGGATTAAAGGAGATCAATAGTTTAATCAACATTAAACACATTACGATATCGTCCGATCTTATTAAACGTTGTTTTGCTTGGAATTTTAGAAAACCTTTTGTGATACATTTGATTTATTCTAATCAAACAAAAAGAAAAAGACTTGAAAATGTAATAACAATTTAAACAGAATTTGGTACTGCCAAATCAAGTGTTATGGTTCTTTTATGTTTTAGGTGTTGCTAATATCTAGAAAATAAAAGGACATAATTCGAAACAGTTCCTGCTTTTCAATTTACTTAATTTGATATTTTTTATCAGATATATAAAAGTAAATTGATTAAAAGTTTGAAATTTAAATATTTAATTCAATACTGTACACAGTATATAAAAAAAATCAATATACCCTATACAATTTAATGTATTCCCTGCGATTACAAGCACGTGTTACTTCCGAACACTGTATCCTTCTTGGGAGCCTATATTTTTCAGTTTGTATCTTTTTTTAGCCATTACAGGATGTAGACTTATTTATATACTGTGTTGCAAGTTAGTTTATATCGATAGCGGAGACTATTTCCCGCTATATAAAACAATAAGAGGAAGATGAATAAAAGAAAGAAACATGTCTCTTTAGTTATATATTGATGGATATTTTTGCACATGTAGTCAAATTGTTGTTACAATTTGCATCAATTGTCGGTTTTGTCACTCAACTCTTGATAAATTTACAAAATATCTGATAAATGATACATGTATAAACAATTGGAAGAGCAGCCCAATTCAATCTGGTATCACGAACGCAAACCAGCAAAATCCATTTGAAGCCATGTTAAGCTTCTCACATTTACATTTTTTTTCTCTAAAGAAGTAGGACACCATTTATTCTTAGATTTATTTGACTGATGAAATTCTGATATTTAAAGTTATAATACCGTTCAACGATGATATTTTACCCTACAACTTAGTTTTCAGAAATTATCACCTAAATCATAAGTATATCCTCATTAATGATGAACTGCTATACAATTTTAATCTTATTTCGCCGAAACACTCGGATGCAACTGGATATAATATCGCCAGTTTTTGAAATCCCCGCCATTTGTAAAAGCTCTCGGGCCCGATCGGTTTCATTCGGAATTAACTCATTTGCATACGGAAAAGTTCGGAAATGCTATAATTAGAAACAAGTTCGGAAACGCTATAATTAGAAACGTCAACAAACTTGCGACCCCGACATATAGGAGATATATAATATAAATGACGGATGCAATTTTATTTGATGTTTTGTAATTAATAAACGATATGAAAAGCTATTTATTAGCTAAGGAATGTAGCTTATATCCTCGTAACGCGTTACAAAACAATCGGAAAAAGAACAAAGTCTGAGACTCTCACTAGATCTACAGTAAACAAGAAGATGGAGCGTTGGTCATGTCTATGTCGTACGGTTGCTGTGGTTATTTGAAATCGGTAAATTAGCCGTTCTTTATGATCGGTTCGTACCAGAAATAATACGTACCTATTGCCAAGCTTCCATCGTAGTAATATGGCATACAGTAGTGTGCGTCATGTAAATATTATGAAACACAGACACTTGGGCTTTGGTGCTCAATCTGTATTATATTATAGATGTTGAAATATGATTTTTTTTCAAAACGGCTTATATTAAGTTTTTTTGTTTTTTTTTTATTTTAAAGGCGTTTTGAGCTCCAAACCAAGTGTCTGTGTTAGGAAATTATAATGAAAAGAAATATAATTTGGCAATCTGGTGTAATAACCTGTATAGGGTGTTACCAGATTAAATAACCAGTCAACTGCATGCAAAAGCCAATAGATCTACATAATTAACATCTACAGACTCAACCGTTTGATATATGATAATGTATAATTATACTTCATTTATAAGCAAACCAGAATGGAAAAAGGACCAAGTTAAAGTTCTGATGCCTATAATTTTGAAAATGATCACTCAAGACCTGATTTTTATGTTAGCCTTTTGTAAAAGTGCACATTATGGAAAATAATGTACTAATGAGAATTTCATTCCAATACAAACACAGTGCAACCTGTGTAAATATTATTCTGTTAACAATGAACAGTTCCATTCCACTGAAAATAAGATTGCCAAGAATTAAATCCTAATCTCTGGATTATGTACACCGGTATGGCATAAAACCATAAATTTCACCACTTTATGTTCAAATGTTGAATTCTGCTAAAGCTGGTGCTAGGGGGGCATGGAAGGTAACTTGCACTTTCCAACAGGCTCACCAAATAGAGCCTGCAACAGTTTCAATTTTGTCATTTTGGGCTTTCTGCAGGAATTCTTTATTTCTCTATTTTCTGATGTCAAATGTACTTTTTTAAAATTCAAATAAGATCACTGATTGTAACAATGTTTTACAAATACCTTTCAATGTTAATTTACGCTCCACTTCTCTTAGCACGTTTCAGGACACATTTTGGAATGTTGTTAAAATAACAAAAACACAGATAAATTGAAACATGTATTTGAACATTGGCAGTAAAACAACAATAAAATATTTTCAAATGAACAGCATATCTTCTTTTTCTTACTCTTAAAATTGTACACCAGTGACTTCTTTACAGTTATAGTTTTATTTTTTATTCAATCCATGCTGTCTTAACAGGAAGAGAAAGTGTGAAGATGGCCAATATTGTAGAAGGAAATAAATAATTAATATCTTAATTCCAACCAAATTGTATGAACTTGAGCTAACCCCTTATGGGTTTCTGGTGATGAAGGATATTATGCTTAAGCCATTGTGACCTTAGACCTTACTAACTCCAAACTAATGCTTAATTACTAATCTAAGCAATGTCCCTGGAAATGTTCAAAACCTTGGGACAATGAGTTTACATGTCACTGAGACCTTGAACTTATAATCAAATGGACCAATCTTAAAACTAATGGCAATCAGAATTTTTCCTTCTGAGTTACATAAACTATATCTTACAATGTTACACATATTTAAAGGAAGTTAAACTTTATGCCATCTTGAGCTTTAAATCTAATTACCTCAAAATCAGTTGGTGCCATTATCTGGGGAAGGGCAATGTTCCTACCAAGCCTAAAAACTTAGGCTTACCCCTGAATGTAAAATAATGTTTGTTCCCCACTCCCGCGACCTACCTACAAATAGCACAGCTACCTAAAATATCTTATTGCCCAGGATTTGTTTACTAAAAATGAAATCAGAGTGTCAATGAGAATGACATCTTTTTAACTGTCTCGTGATTTTTTAATTGTAAATATACAAATGTTGGGATATTTGTTGATTGAAACTGAAAATATGGTTCTAAATTTTCAAGTAAAACAGATGCTTTCATGCATTCACAATTTGTTTGAACTACATTATATAATTTTAATGAAAAATAAAACAAGACAAACATTTTGAATAACTAGGAATGTGTCCAGAGGACACGGGTCCCCCCTACGCGCCACTGTTTTGTCAATCTTATGACTCTAGGTCAAATATTTTTTGAAAACTTAAAATCTTTTACTAAGTAAAGGGCAAGAACTTTACAAATACTGAATAAATTCACAAGTAAACCCCAAGGTGCATAAGTAAACATGCTGACCAACATTCTTTTAAACATTCAGGCCTACTAGTGAAATACTTTTTGAGCTATGCATGAACAAGTTGAAAATTGTAAATTATTCGATAAATTAAAGTGAACCTGTAGTAGCCACTCCTATATTGTCTTTCTTATTTATATTTTATCCCTGTAGGATATTAATTATGGAGTTAAATGATAAATTATTTATGTTTGGCTGAATGAAATGAAAGAAAACATAAATACTTTTTGAGCTATGCATGAACAAGTTGAAAATTGTAAATTTATACTACTGTAAGTACAGGGCAATAACTCTAACAAAACTGGAAAAAATCCACATGAAAGTCCCAGGTTCATAGCTTCACAGTGATGTAAATCATTATTCCTGTAATTTAGGGATGTTGATCATTATTCCTGTAAAGTTGGTTGATTCTCACTCAAGCACTCAAGGAACAAATAACAACATAATGAAACGTTTTTTACTAAGTCAAGGGAAATAACTCTACAAATACTGGATAAATCCACAAGCCAAACCCCAGCTGCAAAACTAAATATGCTGAGCAACCTTCCCATAAGGTTTAATGACTCTATGTCAAATCCTTTTTGAGTTAAATGTACATGTGACACAAGTTGAAAACTGCAAAATTTTACCAAGTCAATGGCAATAACTCTAAAAATCCTAAATAATTCCAGATGAAAATACCCAGATGCGCAACTACACATGCTGATCAACATTCCTGTAAAGTTTCATTACTCTAAGTCAAATACTTTTTGAGTTACATGCGACACAAGTTGAAAATTGCAAAATTTTACTAAATCAAGGGCCATAACTCTCAAAATACTAAATCCAGACGAAAATACCCAGGTACACAACTACACATAATGTTCAACATTCCTGTAAAGTTTCATTGCTGTAGGTCAAATACTTCTTGAGTAACATGTGACACAAGTTGAAAATTGCAAAAAATTCAATGGCAGTAACTCTGAAAATACTAAAAATATCCAGATGAAAATACCAAGGTGAACAACTACACTTGCTGATCAACATTACAGTAAAGTTTCATGACTCTAGGTGAAATACGGACGGACGGACAAGGGTAAATCTAAATGCCCGGCTTTTGCCCGCCACTAAAGTGGGGGCACAAAAATAAATATTTTGTCAGCCCACCTAACCTATCTAAACTGGAATGGGATGAGGGAGTAAATACAAAGATAATTTTAAGGCTTGCCTTGTTTGATTGAACAAGGATGTTATATAAAATGCCCCTGTGTCATTGGTCTAATAAACTAGATTGGACTACAAACAATTCATGGACTAATAACAACTAGATCTCCGCGAGTCGGATGTGTTGCCTTGTGAACAATATAGTTTAGGAGAAATGGCCAAGACAAAAATGAAATATGAAAATTAACAAAGGGCAATAAAGTTAAAGCCACTAATAGCAAATAACAAGCAAAGCCAAAATTTAGACATTTAACCTTGAAGGTCAAGGTCAATTATGAATGAAGGCCAAGGTTAGACAATACACCAAGAACTTTAAAAGTTATGAACAAGGTTCAAGTTTGCAGAAGGCAACGGCAGCAACCTCTATTTATTTTTTCAAAAAAGAAGAAAAAAAAAAAGAAAAGCTGAGCTAAAGTGAATGACATAGTACATGTATATCAAAAGATATAATTGAATAATACTTTTAACTTTGTTACTACATTAAAGCTCATAGCAGCACTTATAGTTTAATAGATTGGATAATATTTTGCACTTGTATAAAAAGTAGTCATTTTTCTGACAAAATATTAAAAACAGACCTTGAGTCATGACAAATGAATCAAGAGAGTTTTTTTCGAAACAAGATAGATACAGTGCCATATCTAAAAAGATATTTCATAAAACTATCATGAATACCAGGTGTTCAATGTCAGCTTAAATATGTTTGAATAGTTGGGCAATCAGTGTAACACACTATTTATCATTCTTTTCCATAAAAAGTCAATCATATCTTGATTTATGTTCCTCGTGAATGGCTCGGGTAGGCTTCGGGCTAACTTGGGCCAAATATTTTGAAAGTCTGTGGGGGTCATCTTTCTCTAACTTTCTATTTTATATATCCCCTCCCTGTCACTAATTCTCAGAGTTATAGCATCATGAAAAATGGTATGATGATACTTTTTTCTTCTTCTTTAATTCATCCAGACTCGCTGAAGTCTGAAATGAGAAATTAACAAGCCTGTTATAACAAAAATCATAAGTGTATACAATTCTCAAAATGCATTACATGTAATTATGTCCTCAAAATTTATTAGTCAGGTTATTCAGAGACTGCAAAATCTCTTTTGATTGAAATTAATATTATATAGGCAATATAAATGCATAGTGATCACACATTCAATAAAAATATCTTATAATTCATAGAGGCAGGAACATTTAATACTAAGATATGCAGCATTTATATTCATATGCAAAAATGAAAAAAAAATGTTGAGAATCTATATGCCCAAAGAAGATAAAGCACAACATTTTATTTAGGTTTTGCCTCTTTATATGTTTGAAGAACTGAAATCTTTCTATTGAAATAAACAAAGAAACATGTTACATCCATATTAGACTCAGTACAGAGTACATCTATGTTGAACATTATTATAGTTCCAAACAATTCACTTTATTAACACAAACTGGACACTGTTTTCTTTCATTTTATAAAATTGTGAAACATTAGATGTTGGAGTTTTGTAAGTAGCATACCTAACAGATCCCCCTTGTTGGTGATGTGTGGTCTATTTGCATGTATATTATAATCTATGGCTGCAAGAAGAGTGTGCATCCTATAAACAGGTGGTGTGTAAGCAAATCTTTTGGTACAATACATCAAGATGTGCTGGTGAAACCCCTACATGCCAGATGTACTTCTAAAAATGAATACAAATAATGGAAAGATATTTTTATTTAAATGATTTTAGTAAGGAAAAATCCTTTAACATTAACATATTCATATGCCAGATATAATCTCTGTATGTAAATAATTATCTTTGAAAAGATTTTACACAGCTCTATCCTTCAATTGATAAGTGCAATAAAGGTGCCAATTAATTTATACAATGGTTGTAGGTCCATTTGCGTTAACATATAAAGGTGCTGTAAACATTGAACATTCTATAATCAATAGACATATGAGCTTTGTATTAATCAGGACATATACTCCTTTCCAGTTAGGAAAATAAATTCTTTTAAAAAGTTCACTCCAAACTGCTAGCATATCTTAACAAAGATAGACATATCTCCTTTGCAGAATTAATGGTTCCAACATTGGAGCCATTATGGCCTCAACTTTTTTGATTGCCCAATCTGGTGGTGCAAACTAAAATTGCTCCAGGGGGAACCCTGTCAATATAAATTTCTTTTATTGTACCTGATGAGAACATACCTGCAGTTGAGATATTATGTCATCTTATTCAGAACACCAGCCAGATCTTTCAGACTATGTGCATCTTATTTCCTTTGCAGCCATGGTTTGTTCTGGTTTCTAATGGGCCATGATTGTACAAGGCATTGGTGTATTCCATCATCTGAAAACAGAATCCATTCATGCTCAATAACTATAAGATTGATGCAGACACTAAAATATATTATTCCCTGAAATAAAATATCAAGACAAATAAGCATGCATTAAAAAATGGCAAAGAAGTCAGCCTTCAACAAGTTTTATGAAACATTACTAAGCATTTCACATTTATTTTACATATAAAATGCTTACCATAAACCTATGAAGTATTCCACATTATGCATCAAAACATCTTGCATGCATTAATTTTCTTGCAACAAATGACAATTATGTATTGCTATCTAGAATTTTATCTAAATATTTCTTGAGCAACAGAATAATCATATAAAAATATCAAACATTCAAACAAAATCAAATATATAATAATTGTTTACTTACCATGAATAGTTTATAGTCTGTAGCAGTTTTATAACTAAACCAGAAATGAATGGTTGTGTCTCAATTCAACTCCAAAAGGATTTTATTGGCTTTCTTTAGTGCTACCTGAAGATTAAACCATAACTTGCTTAAGATTTAGAAGAAAAGAAATCAATTGTGGAATTCCTTTTCATTTTAGCGAAAAATATTCTACATAAGAATTGTATATATTCAGTCTTCACCAAGTTTTACTATAGGACATGAATCTGCCCTTGTTATTAACAACAAATACAGCAGTATAATGCATGCAGTGATAACACCAGTCTATTAAAAATTCTTAGTTTAAAAGGGATATAACTTAAAAAAATATTGCTTTCACAGTCATTGAATTTAAGATTTTGAATTCACTGGCCCCAATTCCAGTTTTGAATTTATTCTACTTTATATTTAACTACATTTTCTTAAAATTTACACTGGCCCAAACTAATTTTCACTGGCCATGGGCCACCAGGCCAGTGCTAAATTCAATGACTGCTTTCATAAGAACATGTATGCTCCCCTGTTTAACAATTACACTTTGTCCTGATAAGCAAGTCTTTCAAGTTACATGTTGATACATTTCAAAATATTTAAATAATGCAATTGTATGCCAACATAGCAATCTGACATAGAATGTAATAGCTTTGGAAAAAAAGAAGCTAGAAATTAGTAATTCATGATGCTTGATTGTAACTAAGAAAGTATACTCCACTTTTGAGGAATCTGTAACTATTTTGTTGTATGGTCTGAGAATTGACTACATAACAGAATCCTTTCCAAAAACCATATATGAGCCGCGTCACGACAGTCTGATCAGGATCCATGCTGTTCGCTATCAGTTTCTCTACTTGTTATAGGGTTTGTAAGCGAACAACATGGATCCTGATCAGACTGTGCGGATGCGCAGGCTGGTCTGGATCCATGCTGGTCGCAAAACCATTATGTTGGTTTTGTCATGACACGGCTCATATATATTTTTTTCACAAGTGGATTTAAGACCTATAATGACCCTCTAGTCTATTATTTTTTCACCTCAGTGAACAATTACCTATAATAATATTATGGAGTCATACAAATATCAAACTCATCATTTAAGATGACACCAAAATCTTTCAATTGGACCAAAATGACCAAAATTAACCATGTAATGCATGTTTTTTTTCTTCTTCTTCTAATACAGTATTATATGCCACTTAAAAATGTCATTATTGTTTAATATTAAAATCATATGAATATCTTATCATGATATATATGGATCACATGTTGACATGTATATATCCATTAATTGGTTCAATAAACTAATAAAAAAACATGAATTCAGCAGTATTTAAGATTAATCAGTTTTTATATGAATTATATAAGTAAATTAGTTATGCAAGTATATAGTTATATAGCAATTTTGAAAGGTATTATTATAACCTGTCACTTTCGACAAAAATGGTGTACTTACTCTCCTCTGCATATGCACTGAAGTCCAGGTCATCTTTGATGTATTGCAACACATGATGAAGATGAAATTGATTTATTTCTGTAATTGAAAATATAGCATACTAGTACCATGGCCTAAAATCTTGACTATTCAAACCAATTACAAATACAATAGTACAGTATTATACATGAATTGCTGCACTGCTTATAAGGAAGAAGGGTTGTCAATAAGAATTATCTAACGTTTCCAGCACAATTATGGTTATTGTCCATGATTATTTTTCAAATTGTGAAATGCTGAAATTTTACTGCAAAAATGATTCAAATGAGACAAAAATATTGATTTTTGTGCGATTTTCCAAACAACATTTTATTTTTTCTACTTTATTTCTTTGAAGATTCAACAACCCTGGATAGTAGATCAATATATCAGACTTACAGGCTTGTTATTGCTTAAATGTCGGTCAAGGTTGCCCAAAAGCAAAAATATCTCAAAATCAAAGGACGTCACATTTATAGGACTACCCTTGAATAAGCGTGATAGTTGAACATGCTTTGAAGAAATGCCTGTTCTGCTAGTCAATAGTTCTAACCCTTTTTGAGACACATGTGGCTAATCTATTTCACAGCATTGTAGTTACTATACAGTACAGCTTACAGTAAAAAACAATAATGTGATTGGAAAATAAAAGTTATTCAAAATATTAGACTACAAAATATAATTTTGTTGTGTCTTAAATGATTCTTAAAAGATAGTGATTGGCCATCTTAAACGATATTACAATGGTTACAATGAACATACGCCATAAAATTATAAAGGATTAGGCTCAGCCGATCTTTTATTTAACCTGTTAACAATTTATTGGTACGAAAATTACAGTGAACGAAAACTTGATACACAGACGTGGATCTGCAAGCTTAATTTCTTTATCACAAGTCAAAACCATCCTAAAAACTATAACACAATATCTGTGTTTATATATTCGTAGGTGAAATTTTTCTATAAGTAGATCTAAGACCAAGAAAAATTTAAATGCAAACAAAAACGATGATCACCTCACCTGTCAATCAGATAACAACTTCACGATCGCTTTTGGTTTTAATTACCCTTTTTAGAACTTTTCATCGCTTTGAATCACTACCGGAGTATATCCTTGATTGAATTAAATCACAGTTTCTTTCCACTTTTCGCTTTTTCCTTTTCCAATCTCAAAATTTATTTCTCGTATACGTGACACACCTTTCGTATTGTCCGCCATTATTTTGGTTTGGTAAATCATATCACGTGACTCAGATCCGAACATTTACGGAAATAATCGAAGGCTTCCCGCCAAAATATAAATCTTATTTGACTAACCCAGTCAAATAAGAAAATGCATTTTTTAGATCGGTCAGAAATGTTACGGAAAGCGTTTCTAAGTTGGAAAACTTTGTCAATACTAGTTAAATAATGCATTTGATAACAATAAGGCGTTAATTTGACAATCTGTTTTGATGAATTTGACCAGGAATATAACTTTAATCCAATAATTCAATTTGTTAGTCAATGCTGAGCTTTGATACATGCGCTATTCATCTTGGTGAAATTTTGAGAAAACCAGTTTTTTTAATGTTTTAAATCAACAACAAAAATTTCCTATCAATAAAACTTTTCCTGCTTCTACCGATTAATTTTAAGGAAGCGGAAATACTGTGAATTTGTGCAATGATGGCAAAATATTTATATGATTCGTTTCTTTTTTCTTAATTTGGTGAATAATTATTTTTTATGGTTGTTGTTTGGTTTGTTTGTTTGTTATTTTTGTTGTTGTTGTTGTTTTTTGTGAATTAAGTTGGTGTATTACAGTAAAAGTTCATGAAGCAATATATTAAGTAACTTACTGCAAATGAAAAGTTTTAAAAACAACATATTCGTTAAATATTTTCTGTTAAGGAAATTGTTGTCTCAGATGTGTAGTGAAGAATGGTTTCGTTGATCAAGTTGCAATATAATGCTGATGAGTCTGGCAATTCCTCTAATTTATATATTTATTATATTTATCAGACGTGATGTCCTTGGTAACACATCGTATTTTGTTATTGTCTTACAAGTCATGAGGAGTCCGGATATTCCAGCTTCTTTAAACATATGCGCTTCTTAATATTTAAAAGATGTATATATTTATTTGATTAATTGAAAAGTTTTCATACTGAATCACTGTTTGGTCATCTCGAATTATCGTCATTGGTAAACATAAAGCAAAGCAGTTCATAGATATACATGACCGCCTCCGTGGTCGAGGGGTTAGAGTCGATGATGATAGAACGGAGGAAGGTTTTGTTGGTTTGTTTGTTTGTTTGTTTCATTTTACGCCTTTTTCCAACAGTATTCAGTCATATATTCGGATAGTTTCCTAACCATCGTTCAGTCTAGTACTGGTGTAACTCTCCAGGAACGATGGTTAGGAAACTACCCGCCTATATGACTGAAATACTGTTGGGAAAAGGCGTAAAATGAAACAAAAAAACAAAATCATAGATATACATACATGTAGATGTATTTTCACGATAAACACATTTGATTTGTAACTATGATTTGCAATGTCTTTAAAAAAAAAGTACAGCCCAGGAAGAATAGAGAGAATAGATCTCAACAATATTAATATTTGATTTTTGTGGTTTGTTGTCACGTATGATATTTAATATTATCAACATAATTATCGATTCTATAAAAGACCTATTATGGACCATTTGAAACACTTTAAAGATTCTGTTTTCCATTATATAATTGAAGAAATTCCTTCTGAGAAGAAATTCCTTCTGAAAAGAAATTCCTCCTGAAAAAAATGTGTCGTGGTATATTATACAACAGAAATTCATTAACATTTATGTCTATTTATATTTTCTTCACTTTATTTGTACTATTATTTGGTTTTAGTTCATTTTTTTAAAGAAACCTTTTTTCAAATGTTTCACGTTTGACAAGAAGCCTTACATATGGTCCATGTGAAAAAAGATTATTTTTAACCAAAGGATCATATTCACAAAGGCTAAGTGCTATATACAATAAAACTGGAAACCACCGAGATAGTAGATTTGTGTTACACTTTGAGCCGTCTGATGCAAATCATTTTATTTATAACCGCCCACAACGTAAGCGTTTACAACAGCCCACAACGTAAGCGTTTACAACAGAAGAAATTGTAATAGTATTTGGAACAGACAACTTAATAAAACAGAAACAAACAAATGTCTTTTCTTTTGTTTTTTCTTGTCTAACTATAGATGTCTACAATTCCCTAAAATGCTGATCACTATCTCTATACAAATTATTGCTGGAGACTTAAAAGAATTGTATAAAGGAAGTAATTTACTTAATAGTGATCGATACTTTTTTATTATTATGAATACAACCCGTATTACAGATGGTTTATCGTATGTTTAATCTGTTGTGTGTTTTTTTGTTTTTTGTTTAATTTTTTCAGTTCGGCCCAATTATTTCATGATGCTTTTATTTCTAATCAACCAAAATATACTTACTGATTTGCCATATTGAAATATATAATTGTTTTGTTGTTCTTGTTTTTTGTTGTTTTTTTTTTCATTCAATCACTGTACAAGTTGTAATGCCATATTTTACTATCAAAAGTTCATAACCAATGAACGAATAGTTCTTCCCTTATTATTTATATTTTAAAGCATTTGCGGTGGCTGTTTATCAACTGCCAACGATGGTGACTGCTGAGCTGATACTAATTAGTATTTATTAGACCTAGAATTGACAAAAAACATAGAAATTGAGATCGTGTCGCCTTACGCTTGATATCATTGAATTCAACACCAAACGAAATATGGCTGCCAAAAGACTTCCAAATTTCTATGTTTTTTTTTTTGCAAGATGAATGTTGTTTAAAACGTGATCATTTGGCAAAATGTTTTATTCAGGACGCTTTGAATCAAAACGAAACCTTAAAACGATATTTAAATTTTGTCAAATGTAGCAGTCAACTTGTCATATATCTTGACAACAAAATGATGGAATTCATTTAACTGTCAAACTTCTGACATGTATCCAAATAACTTCTGATGTTTTTGATCAAACGAAATGAAATGGGTTACATGCTGTAAAGTTGGATACACAATGTCTCTTCTGAATGGAATTTTGACAGTTACTTTAGGTCTTGAGATAATATGTGCGTAATTTCTTTTACTTTTTATTACTTTTCAAAATATATAAGGTTTGTTTAGTACACATTTAAAGCCGTATGTGTATTTTGGCACCCTGTAAAAACCAAAGGGAAGAACTTTATACAGTTTAACTCGTAAATTTAATCTTGCATACTAAAATCTAAAAATCACATTTTCCTTCCTTACTATACATATATATACATACTATACTATATTAGACTTTATTGAAATGAATTCTTTACCTTCATCTAAGATTTATATTCTTTTTTTAGCAGTAAGTGGACCTAACTCTTAAATGATGTTCCTTGAGTTCGAGCCTATGTGTTGTCACGGTCAGAATGTGATGTGAATAAATGTAGAATGGAGATTGTTTTCTTAGAATTGTGTGTTGCCAAGAAGATACATTTTAAATCTTATTGAATATTATATTAAACACTGTATGTAAGTAAAGAAATGAGCCACTGTTATTATTCTGCAATGAAAAGATATCTGTTTCATTAAACAACATTTGTGTAAACAAAACTGTTCATATGAACATAGTCCGAAGGCGAGCTTTAAGCAGCTGAACGAAATTTTGTCACTCTGTAAGTGGTATGTGATTGAGGTAATAAATTTTGTTATTACAAAAGGTGTAGTTTTTCTGTTGTTGTTCTTTTTTTTACATTTTTAGAAGTGATTTATTATTATAGTTCCAACTACGTTATTACACTATCTTTGTTTAAGGTCACCTACTACAATCGCCTGCAAAGTCGCTAAATGACCTTTACGTGAAATCAAACAAAAACATTCTCTTTGTATTTTGTACCGTAGCAGTTCGTTGCTGAATTTACATTTTATTATTGGATGTGACAAAACAACAAAACAATAAACCAGGATGCACTTTGGAATTGTTTAGATTGTTTCCCTCAGGCCTTCCTGCCGCCTGGTATAGTATGACAGCAAAGTATTATTTGATAGACTGTCATTAAACTGCATAATAGATAGTCTGTGTTATGTCAAGTTTTTCCCCCAGAAGGATTCGTTAAACTTTAATTACTTCCTGAAAGTAACAAAATAAATAAATGGATTACTAACGTATCTTATTTTGTTCACAAGTATTGTCGTTTTTTATTAAGATCAGAAGAAAATTCACAGCCGACGTATATCGGCGATGAGTGTCCGTAGCAGACGTCATTAAAGTGTAGTTATACACCTGTCACTTCAACATATTATTTTTTTAATGTTTTTCAAGAGGCATTTAGTAATTCATTCAAATCAATCGCATTTCACCATTCCTTCCGAATTCGAATTTCAAGGGGGGGGGGGTCGTAAAGTAAGTAATTTCTGGTATGCTTTAAGTTAGGTAAAAAAAAGCTACATGTATTAGTTTTTAGTGACTTTTTTAAGTAAAAATGGCTGGTGATAGGAGAGTCCTTTTACATAGTTTTGCCCCTAAAAGTCTGAGTATTTTATCTTATTTCCTTTAATAGGATTGTTTGTTTACCTTTAAAAAACAAGTAGATTTGCAAAATTGCTTCAAACGTTTCCCAATAACTATTTGAAACAAAAACACTTTGGTTTTCCAGACACGTGTATGTAAAATCAGAAATAAACATCGCTCTGCTAATAGGAAGATGTTTATTTGTTTTCCATATGTTTATATACTATTTCAAATATTTCAGATGTATATACCTTCAGACTGAGTAAAAAAGATGGCGCCTTAATGCAGACTTAGTTGCCAGCGTCAAGTACTAATTATACCACATGTGTTGTTCTCTTTCTGTGACGACATCTAAAAATAAATAATAAGCATGAGTACATAATAATTATACTAATATTCTCGCCGTGACATAATTTACATTTATAATATACTGAAAGACTGAAACTTTGATCATTAAAACAACAGTTTTACAAACATTACTGACACTGACTTTTAATGTAAAATCATCTCGGACAAGACAACTCGCTTCGATTACATGATAATGAAACATTTTAGTTATCACTTACATGCACAGCTCACTTTCAAGTAATAATGTGATGAAACAATGTTGACTCTTTCAAAAAAGAGAAAAGAAAAAAACAAGATGAATATGCTCCTTTTAATTGTGCAAATGTGTTTATTCCCAAGTTAAAATTTTTGAATTCGATATTAATCATTTATACTTGCATAA